CCGATAACTTCTCTCTGCTCTCCCCAGGCGCAAAGATGGGGTGCTTCACCTTTATCAAGGTCATCATGATCATCTTCAACCTGGCCATATTCGTAAGTGCACCCCAGGAGTTGTCTCTGTCCGGGGGGCCAAGCCTGGCAGCCCCCTTGTCTGCCTGGGGAAATTGGGATGAGGGGTTGGGATCTGCGGGAGCAGCTCCTTGGGAGCCCCCTGAGCCGGGCATGAGGTGGGTGAAGCCTGTTCATGTGGGGTCTCCTGCCTGTGCCATGTCCCTTTCCATGGGGGACGGAACGGGGGATGCAGACAGTTGGGTGTGGGTGAGATTTGTGCTCCTGGGACTCTGGTAGGGTGTGAGATCTGGTCTCTGGCCTCAAGCTGAGGACTAAAGCCCTGGGCTTGCGGGGGTCTCTCGCTCCAGTGGTGTGCCCAGCTTTGGCTGAAGCCCAGGGGACCACACTAGGCTCTGGGGCCAATGGCTGTTGCATCAGCCACCCATGTCCACCCCCTGTGCTGAAGCTCTAGGGGGTTTGCTGGGTCCCTACCTGGGGGACCTGTCTCTGTAGGGGAGCAGCCAATGTGTGTGACAGCAACCTGTAGTGTTGGGATTCTTGATATTTGGGGTCTCCCGAGCACCCACAGCCTCAGCTCCCACCCAGGGCAACAGGTAATGGAGCTTCTGAGAGCTACCCTGGTTCTGCAGGACCAATGGAGCCACCTGGATGGTGGTGCAGTGGGATCTAGCCTTGAGAAGGGAGGATGCAGAGCCTTGGGGCTGGTGAAGGTCGAGTGGGTGTGGGGTAGGGCTGGGGAGGCTGGAGGCAGCGCTGAGCTGACCTTGCCAGGAGTGTGTGAGCGTCTGGAGCCAGGGGCTGCTCAGCTGCTCCCCCGGGTGAGTGGGCAGCTTCCCCGTGGGGAGGAACTTGTGACAGTGTGATGGTGGCCAGTGTCTGGGCTGGCCATGTGGGCTCTTCTGGGGTCAGGGTGTGGCTGGTGGCACTGCCACTGCTGGTTTGGCTGCCCTGCATGGGGGGATCTGCCCCGCTGCTGGCACTGCAATCCCTCGGGCTGGGGAAGGGGTCATCTGCGACACCACAGCCAGGGATATGCTGGTGGTGGGGTGTGTTTTGGGGTAATGACCCATCCAGCCACCCCAAGTGTACGGTGGCAAGGTCATGAGCTGTCCTCACTGGCCACGGAGTCTTGCTTTGGTACGACGAAAACTTGCAAAGGGTAGAAATGCCTGTGCCAGGACCTTCCCCAAATCCCAGATCTCTGCGTGCCTGGGAGCTGACATTGTCTTTCTCTTCCCAGCTTGGTGGCGGGGCCCTCCTAGGAGTTGGCATCTGGGTCACAGTGGATGGAGAGTCATTCGTGGATATATTTGGGGCGCTCTCCTCTAGCGTCCTTCAGGTTGTCAATGTGAGCTACTTCCTCATCGCCATTGGTGCCATCCTGATGGTGATTGGCTTCCTTGGGTGCTGCGGTGCCCAGAAGGACAGCAAGTGTCTCCTGATAATGGTATGGACCTGACTTACCTCCTCATCAAGCCTCATTTGAGCTGGGTCTCTGGTGGGGAAGATGCGAGGGACAGATTTCTCTGTGGAGCTGTGCTCCTTGGATGTTCCCTTGTGGTGGAAGGCTGGGTGGACCTTTGAAAGGCAGTGCTGGACACAAAGTCTACTCCAGGCAAGGCTGAAAGGAAGCAGAAGCTGGTGTTGAGCAGAGGTCTCTCTTGGAGCATGTCCAGAGAGGACAGCCCCATGCCGATGGAGGGTTAGAGGACCCCAAGGTTGTGCTGCTTCTGCCTTGGAGCAGAGCTGAAAGCAATGAGACAGGGCTTGAGCCCTGAGGGAGGGTCCTGAGGCCCTTGGGAAGCAGATAGGTTCCTGGGGGCCCTGTGGACTCTGGCTGTTGCTCTGACCTCCCTCCCCTTGCTGTATCCTAGTTCTTCTCAGTGGTGCTGATTATCTTCATTGCCGAAGTTGCTGCTGCCGTGGTGGCTCTGGTCTACACAGGTCTTGTGAGTGGTATATCTGAGTTTTGGGTTGGGATAATCTGAGACCTGTCCTACCCCCTGGGAAAACAGGAGCCTTTAGAGGGCTGGCAGTGCTGCCTATGGATGGGGAAGCTGAGAGATGAGCACTGCTGCGGGAGGAAGGGATGCTGGTCCCCACTGGCACCAGCTACGTGGGCAGGCTGGGGTGGCCTGGCTGGGGGGTGGAGGGAACAAGGGTTTCCATTGCCCTAAAGAAATGAGGGTTTTGTACAAGTTTCACCCACTTCTTTCTTTCAAACCACTTAGTCCTGTAACCGCTGAGGCTTAATACCTGTCTACCTCTGATGGTAGGAGCCACACAGGAGAGGAAGTCCCTAATGCTTCATGCTGAGCAAACTCAACCCCTCATTAGGCACCTGAGAAACCACCTGGGGAGAAAGGTGACTTCTCCCACCCTAGTGGACTTTGCCTCATTAGGCACAGGAGAAGTCAACCACAGGGCAAGCGTCATTCCTGGCTCCCTTGGTTACGCTGCTTATCAGATGACTCACTGGTCATAAGAGGCCTTGGTGCCATAAAGCATTGGTTAGTGGGGAAGGAGCCAAGCTGCCCTTGGGCCAAAGGGATGCGGTGTAATGTGCTCCTGGCCGTGCTGGGTCTGTTTAGCCTCCTCCCCATGGGCTGAGACCAGTGTAGGGGCTCTTGGCTCCATGGTGCTCCCCAGGACCTTCTCTGATGGTGTTTCTCGTCTTCCTCTTCCAGGCAGAGACGCTGCTGGTGACCACGGTGGGCCCTCTGCTGAAGGAGAAATATGGGTCGGATACTAGTTTCACATACATCTGGAATATCACCATGACGGAGGTGCGCTGAGCCCTGGGGCCCCCACTCGTGGGTCAGGATGCTCCCAGACCAGACCTGGTGGTACACACCTGGGTGGGCCAGCAGGATGGGGATGGAGACGGGGACATCATCGCAGTCCTGGTTGTGTAGAGCTATCGTCACCCCATCAGCTTCTCAGGTGCCTGGGACCTACCTGCTTTGGATCTAGTGGTCCCGTTGCTGGGGTGAGAGCTGTACGTGCTGGAATACGGGGAAAAATCCTGGTCACAAGAAGGCCCTTGAGCACCCCCCCAGAGCTAGGTTGAGCTGAGTGAGCCCCTCCATGGGGCAGCGGGGTCCAGAGCGTGTCTGACTCAGGAGGGAGACCTGCGGGATGCCCTCCCCATCCCTTCCTCTCTCTCCCTCTTTAGGTCCATTGCTGTGGCCTGAATAACTACACAGACTTCACTGGCTCCCCCTGGTACAACAAGTATGAAACCTACCCAGTGCCCTGCTGTGATAACGTGCAGCCCTGCAACGAAACGCTCGCCGCACAAAGCAATGTCTCGGTACGGATGCGCCAGAAGCTCTCGCCTTCTGGCAGAGCCTGGTTTGGCGTGTGCTCTGGCACGGGGAAGGAGACCTGTCCTGTAGCTCCAGCCCCAGCTCTGGATGTGGTGATCCCACGGGCTTTAAGTCCTGGGGGATGCTGTGATGGCCTTGCCTTGTCCTTGGTGGGGACAAGCAAAGCTGCTGCCATTGCTCTGGTCCTAGCAGGGTGGCATGTCTGGAGCTTAACATGAAGACAGGCACCACTCTGCCTTTTTGGGTGATTTCCTTGTCTCTCCCTCCTCCTCCTGCCTGATACTGTGCTTCTGCCTGAGAAGCGGCTGAGAAGAGTTGCCCCCTGAGGCCTCCAGGCCTTCTCCATGGGTGTGCAGCTCTGGGCTGGAGAACCGTACCTCCCTCTCTGGGGATGCTGTTCCCCAGAGGTTTAGGGGATCACTACCCTGTGCTGGTCCTCACCTGTGTGGTTTCTTCCGGCAGGGTTGTTTCAAGCAGATCTTGAAAGAAATCAGGACTCATGCAGGTGCGGTGGGTGGCGTGGCAGCTGGCATCGCTGCCTTGGAGGTGAGTGCCTGAGCATTGCTGTACTGCCTCCTCCTTCTACCTGGAGCTGAGTGGTGGGGCTGGGACCAGCGTGGGTGGCCGAGGGGCTGCAGAGGGCTGGTGCAGCCCCAAGGACCACCATTTGCCCTAGAGTGGCTACTGAGCCTTCTTCCCTGGGTGCACCCAGCTCTTCCTCCTTGCATGCGCTGGGGATGGATGCTATGGGCTGTGACCCAAACCTGTGCTGGGGAGGACATGTAGGGGACCTGACTTGCCTCTTGCTGCCCCCAGATTGCGGCCATGGCAGTTTCCATGTACCTGTACTGCCACCTGGATCAGAAATGACCCCGCGAGGCAGGAGGATGACCTGCCCCCCCACCACGCCGGGGTGCGCCCATGGCGGGCCATGCCATCGGGTCGGGGGGACCTCATCGCTCCCTGAGCCTGATGCTGTCCTGTGCACTGTGATTTGTAGCTGTGTTTTGATCTACTGAGCTGGGATCTGTAGAGTTTATGTGTATATTTTTGTACTGATGTGGCACATTGAGTCTGTACAGAGAGATTCGGGGGCTTTTTTTTGAAGGGGAGCAGGGTTGGGGAAAGCTGCTTTGACTGCTTTGTTGATGCCAGCAGGAGCTAAAGCAGCACAGGGACGGATCAGGGCTACTGACCCTGCGGCGATGTCTTGATTAAACCCTTGCAGACATGGTCTTGCACCTCTCCCACTGTCCCGATGCAGGGGCTGGCACTGAGGCTGGCCTGTGGCCAA